GATCTCATTTGAAACATTGAGTATTTTGTTTTCAAAGTCCGGGACAATTTGAACGGTATTCAACGATGGCAATGTTTCGACGTGGCGGGTAACACCAAATTGACATTTCGCAACAGCGTCGTTTTCACTGAGTCGCTATTTCGCAATCGCATCAATTCAAGTCGTAATGTGGTGTCAAATGTAATCATAGCTCCGCAATTTGATCGCATAAACACGAAAAATATTCTGAAATTGTTGATTTTCCCATTTATTTCTTTAGCAAATCGACTGGAAAGTGTTTTTACTATAAGAAATTATAGCCTAACACCAAAAACCAGCGAATTTACCGTGTTTTTTTTTTGCATTATTTTCTCTGAAAATGTAAGTACTGTTCTAGACATTGAATTTAGTGGTTCTCAAAGTGGATGGATTGAGACTCAAATTTGATTCAATTGCGATTTTAGCTCTTTTGTCAAGTTCATCTCTTATTTCCAAAGAGATTGATTTGAAAAGTTAGACTCATTTTCATGCAAATTGTGCAAATTTAAGATTGCAGTTTTCGTAGCAATTCCAATAGTGACAGAGAGGCCAAACCAAAATGAATAACGCTTTCAATCCCTCAATATTGGCTTTCAGATTGGCGAAAGAACCTCACAGACAAATGGATAATCGGAATGAAGCCGCTGATCGGAAGCGACAACCAGAAGGAGCCAACCCACCGGCGAATAAACAATCTAAAACATCCGAGACCGTGTCTGCAGACGTGGTAAAAATCAAAATTATTTTTTTTTGGGAAATTAGAAAGGATTAGTTGAAACATTATATTGACCATCAAACTAGTTTCATGTATTCTTTGTTTCAATGCACATATTGTGAGAGAGAGCACATATTGTGAACGCATAACTTAACCTCAAAATTTGTGTTCAATTGACATTGTAACCAAAGTCGATGCACAATCAATGGATTTGTGTGCAAAATTTTCATATTTTATTGAGATTTTGGGTCCAGAAATCTAACAATTTCGTGTTTATTCGATTTTTAGCAACGTGCATCCAACAAAACAGCCCAGCAGCCGACGAAGATTCATTACACAAGATTGCGCCGGCGCATGGATGAGGAAGAGGAAGAAAAGCTGGCAAAGCTTGGTCCGGATCCCAACCTTTGCACCACAAAGTTGACAGACGTCAATGTTGATTGCCTCGAGCACATTTTCAAGAATCTACGCCTTATAGATCTCTTGAATGTTGCCGACTCCAACAAACAATTGAAACCAGCAGCGGATTTGGTATTCGCGAGTCGTTATGGGAAACAATGGATTTTTATCCATTCGAGATACAAGTCCATACTGATCGAGCGGAACATGTGTCCAACAACGGTTCAAATTCCACGGTCATTCCGATTAAAGTTGCTCCGCTGCTTTGGACATTTGATCACAAAATTGGACATCACACATGATAAACATATGGATGCTTATGTCAACGAATACTGTGCCGATTCATTGGTCGAAATCAAATTTCAACGCTGCAAAGCAAGCACACTGGACGATCTGAAGAAGCCGTTCACCCAGGTTAAAACACTTTGTTTTGATAGCTGCAAATTGGGAAGCAAGCTGTCGGAACTCGATAAATGGTTCCCGGAAGTGCGTCGCTTGGAATTTAACCATCAAAACGAATCAGATTGTAACGAGACCGCTGTTTATTTGCCGAAACTTCGGCATTTGAGTCTGTTCCTTCCAGCTGATGAAAAGAACCATTTGAACAAGAAATATTTTGAGGAGCTCCTGCGTTTAAACCCAAACATACGAACTCTGGACATTGGCGGCCACTTTGATGCCAAATACCTTCAGAACGTTAGCAAATATCTACAGCGTCTGGAAAGCTTGAAATTCTCTTCAATTCAACACTTGTCGGATATTGGAAACGGTACCGTGCGTTTTCCAAATGTGAAAAGGCTTCATTTATGGGGCACGGCATTGGACTATTCGTTGACTAATTTCATCAGCCAGCACAAAAAACTTACCAAGCTGACTTTTTCTTCGATTGGACATTGTGAAGAGGGTGCACTATTGAAGATTACTTCGCCAGCATTAGTTGAAGTGGATTTTGGTAATTTCCATTTTCCGTCTGATGAAGTGGCTTCTTTTGTGGCTGAATGCCCATCGCTGAAGAAGCTAACAGTTGCATTCGGTAACGAAAACGATTACGAAGCTTTTCAGAAGTGGCTGGGCAATGAATGGCGTGAAATAAAAAAGTACAGCTATTACCATATCTGCAGAGTTACGATTGAACGTTAAGTCAACTTCCTAAAATCACAAATACATTTAACTTCATGAAATAAGTAGAATCTATTTTTGCTTAGCTATGAGTCTGAAAGCTTAGGTGAACACATTCTACTTTAAATATAATATCTAAACAGCAGCCAGTCACATTTCCATCCGAAAAACACATCGAATTTAAAATTGAATTAATTAAGAAAAAATATATTCAAATATAAATAAATCATGTACTCTTGACAAGAGTCTCTTGTACTGGCTCTGAATAGATACATCGTAAAATTCGACGCCAATTTCAACATTACCACTATTTCTGTTCATTTTTGTTAATCACAATCCAGACTCAAACTGAAGTTTGTTCAAAATAAACTCATGACGAAAAATGTAAAACAATAAACGAAAATAATATTTCAGTGAAATATCATTTAATCAAGGAAATTCAATCATCACAATCATATGAAATAAAAATTCGGATCGAATCGATCAGTAAAAAGGAACTCTTTTTATTCCCATTTATGTTGTTTGTTCATTTACCATAGTTTAACTTCTATCGCCAATTTTACTATCGGCCATGAAATATGCCGAACTTTAAAAATAGGCAAAAAACTTAAATAGAATGGAAGCATTTTGGAAAATCCTGTTTCGCTGGAATTGCACACAATTATCATTCCAATTAGATCTCATTTGAAACATTGAGTATTTTGTTTTCAAAGTCCGGGACAA